GGTCGCAAAGAGTCAGGCCTGACTGAGTGACGGAACTGAATATCATATATAGTGATGGAATATTGATCGATTTCTCTCTAAGATTGAGAATAAGGCAAATATGCTGTTTCTCATCACTTCTACTCAACATTTTAGTGAGGTTCTAACCAATACAGTAAAACAAGGGAAAGAAATAATCCAAACAGATTGGAAAGAAAAAATAAAAAACATCTACTCAAAGGTCCTCTGGTGATTTTTAAAAATTTATTTTTAATTGGCAGATAATTGCTTTACAATGTTCTGTTGGTTTCTGCTGTACAACATCATGAATCAGCTATGGTGATTTCTTTCTACTTAAGCGTCACCTTGCTGTGGTCCTTGATCCAGTCTGGTGCCCTGCGTCACATTGCTTCAGCCCACTTCTGATTTCCATAGTAACTGCAGTGGACAGTGCCGTGCTAGTTCACACTAACTATCTTGTCAAGAGTGTGCTGTATGTTTTCACTTTCTGCCACACATAAATCTGCCTGGCCAAGCACTGCTAAGAAGTGTGGGGATTAACATCCCCCCGGGCAACCTTCAATTAATGGGTGTCCGGAGCTTATGGGTATATACCCCTGCCTCCCTCCCTCCAGGGAGGTAATTTTGGGAGGCATTTTGTATGCTTCTCAGGTGGTTCTGGACAAATCAGGCCCATGAGGAGAACCTTGATAACACAGCTTATATTAGCTTGCACCTTCCCTTTCTCATCATCCTAGTTTTCTCGTTTTTGCTTCCTGGGATTATATCCCACATAAATTGCTTGCACACAAGTCCCTGTAGTAGACTCTGTGTTTTGTGGGAAGGCAGGAAACTCAAGCTAGAATTCTCATGGTGCTCTCCCTCTCAGAGCCTCCTCTTTGCTTATGCAGAACCACCCCTTCTGTCAAGACTCAGTTCAGGCTATCCCTTTGTATGTCCAAGATTTCAAGTGAAGCTTTGAAAGATTATTAAAAAGGTATAGCAGATTCTGTCTAGATCAAGAGGCAGGGAATTTTTAGTTTTTCAGCTCACATTTTTATAGAAAGGAAAATTAAGGACCAAAATGTCAAAAATGGTTGTTTGAAGATGGAAACAATGGGCACTTTGAATTTTCTTCTTTCTGTTACACTGTATTTTCTAAAATTTCTGTAACAAATATGTCTTAATTTTACAGTAAGGAAAAAATAATAAAAGTTAACATAAAAATTCAATCAAATGGAATTTTTAAAAGTAATTTTATTAAGGCATAATTTACATACCGTAAATTCACCAAATTTGAGGATACAATTAAAGGATTTTTAGAAAGTTTATTAAGTTGTGCAACCACTACCACATTCAGTTTTAGAACATTTTCTTCTCCCCAGTACAATTTTTCATATCTGTTTACAGTTAATCCCCATTCCCACCCTAACTCTAGGCAAACATGAACCTACTTTTCTGTCATGACAGATTTGTCTTTTCTGGACATTGTATATAAATAGAATATCATATAATATGAAATCTTCTGTATTTGACTTTTTTAACATAATATTTTAAAAGTTCATTCATGTTGTAGTATTTATCTGTATTTTACACTTTTTAATTAGTATTGATATTTCAATATGGCCCTACCAAATTTTATTTATCTCTTCACTAGTTGAGGGACATTTGGGCTCTTTCCACTTTTTGCCTATTATGAATAATGCTGCTGTGAACATTAATGTATAACTCTTTGTGGAAACTTATGTTTTATTTTCTTGAGTAGATATATAACAGTGAACGTCTGACCCATATGAAAAAATTATATTTAAACTTATAAGAAATTGCAAAATTGCTTTCCAAAGTGACTCTACTACTTCACATTTCTGTCAGCAGTGTATGAGAATTCCTATTTCTTCATATTTTTTGTCAACACTTGTTATTGTCTTTTTATTTATTTATTTTTTACTAACTTAAGTATTTTGTTGTTCAAAAAAAAAGTATTTTGTTGTTCAGTTGCTCAGTCACATCTGACGCTTTGCTACCCCATGGACTGCAGCACACCAGGCTTCCATTAAATACAGTTACTGGGCATATACCCAAAGAAAACCATAGTTCAAAAAGACACATGTACCTCAATGCTTATTGCAGCACTATTTATGATAGCCAGGACACGCTATTGTAACAACCTAGAATATTGTTATTACACAAGACAACTTAAATGTCCATCAACAGAGTAATGGATAAAGAAGATGGGGTACCTATATACAATGGAATATTACTTAGACATAAAAAGGAATGAAATGAGGTCATTTGTAGAGACACCTAAAGACTGTGATGCAGAGTGAAGTAAATCAGAAATAGAACACAAATATCATATATTAATGCATATATGTGAAATCTGAAAAAATTGGTATAGGTGATCTTATTTACAAAACAGAAATAGAGACACAGACTTAGAGAACAAATAAATGTATGGATGCCAAGGGGGAAAGAGGGAGTGAAATAAATTGGGAGATTGGGACTGACATATATACATTATTGATACTATGTATAAAATAGATAACCAAAGAGAATCTACTTTATAGCATAGGGAACTATACTCAAGGCTCTGTGGTGACTTAAATGGGAAGGAAATCCAAAAAAAAGGATATATGTGTACCTCAGCTGACTCACTTTGCTGTGCAGTAGAAACTGACACATATTGTAAGGCAATTATTCTCTAATCAAAGTTTAAAAACTAAAAAAAAATACTTTTCAGAGCCCCCAATATATTAATTTTACATGTACAGCATAGTAATTCAGTATTTTTATAGATTATACTCTATTAAAAGTTATTATGAGATAATGGCTCTAATTCTCTGTCCTATATAATATTAATATGTCCTTGTTTCTTTTATACATAGTGCTTTATATCTCAGCCCCATACCCCTAATTTGCTCCTCCTTTTTCTGTTGTTTTGATCATAGCCATTCTGGTGGATGTGAAGTGGTATTTTATTGGGTCTTAATTTGCATTTTCCTGATAACTAATACACCTTCCCTGGTGGCTAATAATGTTAGGCATCATTTCATGTGCTCATTAGTCATTTGCACCTCTTTGGAGAAATTTCTATTTAAATCTTATGCCCATTTAAAGATTTGGATTGTCTTTTTATTGAGTTGAATATTTCTTTGTATTTTCTGGATACAAATTTTTTTGCTATACATACAAGTGATTTATAAATATTTCCTCTGTGGCTTGCCTTTTTACTTTCTTAATGACATCTTTTGAATAAAAATTTTTTGAAAAAATTTAAAATTTGGAATAATAAAGAGTTACAGACCTTACAAAGATATTATCTAGAGAGGTCCCCTGTACCATTCATCCAGTTTAACTCCCAAATTTTGAATTTTGATAAAGTTCAATTTATTAAATTTTTTCTTTTACAGATCATGCTTCTTGGGTTGTGTCTAAAAGAAACCTTTGCCTAACTCAAAGTTCTTTTTTTTTTTAACTCAAAGTTCTTGACATTTTCTCCTGTTTTATTCTAAAAGTTTTACAACTTCAGTCTTACATTAAAGTCTCTGATTTTGAATCAATTTCTGAATATAGTGTAAAGGGTATAGCTAATCTCTTTGTTCATTTTGCATGCGGATATTCTGTTGTTCCAGCATCATTTGTTGAAAACTCTTTTTTCAAATTGCTTTTTTCAAAAATTAATTGGCCATAAATATAAGGATTTATTTCTGGACCCTCAAATTTGTTCCATTGATTTATATGTTTACCCTTGTGTCAGTACCAACCTATTCTGATTACTGCAGCTCATATTAAGTTTTAAGATTAGGAAATGAAAGTTATCCAACTTTTTTCTTTTTCAAAAAATTTTGGCTATTCCATGCTTTTGGATTTCCTGCTTCCCAGGTGGCTCAGTGGGTAAAGAATATGCCTGCAATACAGGAGACACAGGAGACACGGGCTTGATCTCTGAGTTGGGAAAATCTGGAGGAGGAGAAGGCAACCCACTCCAGTATTCTTGCCTGGAGACTCCCATGGACAGAGGGTTCTGGGAGACTAGTCCATAGGGTCACAGTCAGACACAACTGAAGTGACTTAGCACAGAGCACACACATACATTTTAGGCACAGGTTGTCAACTTCTGCAAAAAAAACCTGCTGGAATTTTGGTGGAGATTGAGTTGAATCTAATGAACGATTTGGGGGAGAACTGCCATCTTAACAACATTGAGTCTTCCAAACAGTGAATGTGAAGTGTTTCGTCTCTCCATTTAGAATGTATTTAATTTTTCTCAGCACTGTTTTGAAATTTTCAATGTTTAACACTTGTACTTCTTTTGTCAACTTTATTTATATGTTATATTCTTTGTAATATCATTGTAAATGGAACTGCTTTCTTATTTTTGTATTCAGATTGTTCATTCTCATATATAAAAATACAATTCATTTTTGTATACTAATCTTGTATTCTGTGACATCGCTGAACTTGTTTATTAATTTTAATAGGGGTTTGTGTAAACACATGGGTGTATATTCCTTAGGATCTTCTACATTTAGAATCATGTTGTCTGCAAATAAGGACAGTTTTCCTTCTTCCTTTCTAATCTGGATAGGTTTTATTTCTTTTTCTTGTAATTTTATTGGCTTAAACCTCTAGCATGATGTTAAACAGAATTTGCAACAGCAGAAATTCTTGCATTTTTTTAACTGTTAAAGTATGATATTAGCATTAGCTTTTCATAGATGCCATTTATCACACTGGGGAAGTTCCCTTCTCTTTCAAGTTTGTTGAGAACTTTTTACTATGAATTAGATTTTATAAGTGCTTTCCCTGCATTTATTCAGCTGATTGTGGGTTTTTATCCTTTATCCTATTAATATGGTATATTACTTGATTTTAAAATATTAAACCATCTTTGCATTCCTGGATTGAACGGTACTTCATCAGATTGTATAATCCTTTTTATGTGTTGCCAGATTCAGGATCAATCTGACGTTTAAACATATCCTGACTTTGAAAGAAATGCAAAAATTAGTCAAGTGAAGTGGTTTCTTTATAAAATCTTTAAGGTTTTAATCACTTATTGAAAACTAGAAAATTCAAGTATCAGTTTTATTCATCATTAGGACCAATTACCCCAAAGTTTCAAAACATTTCTATTGAATATAATCTATTTTCCAATTAACACTGTACAATGTGTCTTCAAACTATGCATTCTTTTTACACTATACAGATATTTTATTCACCTGGACAAGAAGAAGTCAATTTAATTTTTCAAAAACTTATTATTAATTTTTCAGTGACATCTTTGAGAGCATTATTCATTTTATCATTATCATTACAGGTTCAAACTTATAATCTTATTGAAGGATAAAAACTCAGACAGTTCAAACTATGCCATTTTAATACCTAGTTCTGGTTTTGAACAGTGAACATTACAGATTTATCTCCATTATCATCTTGTTTTTTCAAAATGAGTTTGAAAAGGTCATTCTCTTTTTCACAAGCTAGAAAGTATCCTCTGTACAATGAAGACTCAAACTGTATCTTATCATCATGTCCTGGAACACTTCTCTGAAAGAATATGATGTCATTTCCTTCATTATCAATGTTATCAGGAGGATTCATTTCCTATAAAGAAAAAAATTGCTTAATTTTTTTAGGACATGACCGATTTGAATATGTGTGGTTTATTTTGAAATATTGCACAGAACTAAAGATGCACAGAACTGAAGAAGTTTATATTCTCAAGAATAAAGAAAAAAAATCTCTGAAAGTAGGAATACTGATCTCCTCTCCCTCTTAATCTCGAATCTTCCATTCTTCTTGACCATTTTGGCTTTCCCCACTATGCAGTGCACATTTAGGTCCAGGCCTCTGTTTTTCCCAATATATCCATCAGATGATTTCCTTCTCTCCTTTGCCATTCAGTGGAATCCATTATCTGCTCAAGATGAAGTAGAGTTCCAGCAAAGGCCACAGCCTTTTTAGGTTAATATCAGTTCTTGTCTTCTTCAACCATTTACAACTATAGACACTGATGACCTTCAGCCATAAGCCTAGGGTAGCTCCAGTTTGTGAACCAACTGTGAGACAGACAGGAAGGAGCAGGAATCCCAGTTGCTTCCTTCAGTGGAGCCAAGAACCGAAACCAGCTATAAATAGACCTGTTACTTGTTCCAGGGCTTGGTCAGAAACTTTTGGTGCTTCCTGCCAAGCATTTCATTTCCATAGTAATCCTGAATTTCTGTCCTGAAAGTAGTCTGTCTCTTGGCTGGACCCTGCCCTGGGAGGTCAGGTGCTGATTCCTTCATCTCAGTGGCAGAATGGGGTTTTCCAAAGAATGGCTAGATCCCTTGAAACTATAACCCTGCTGGTCACCTAACTGACACTACTGCCTGTGCTCTTCCCATTAGCGCATCATGCCTACATTTCAGGATGGACTAGAAAATGTGAGGACCTCTTCAGGTTCTTTCCATGTTAATCCCAGAACCAGCAGAATATTTGAACTTTATTTTCACCCTCTGGTAGCAAAGATCTTCATGATCCTAACCAAGGACTGACAAAGAGACCTCCAGACCCAAAAGAGCACCCCAGTATCCTCTGTAGATGCCTGAAAGGACCTGGATTTTCCCCCCAAACTTCTCAACTGGAATTTATAAAGCCATAACTCTTGACCTTTGTCCTTTATCAACAAGTGTGAATCTGATTTAATGACACAATAAACTAGTTATCCCATTCTACTATTTCCCAAGCACTATTTTCATCTTCCTGACACTGTCCCCAATCTCTCAGTAAGAGTCTACTTACATGTGAAAGTGAAGAGTTAGTTGCTCGGTCATGTCCAACTCTTTGTGACCCCATGAACTGCAGCCCACCAGGCTCCTCTGTCCATGGGACTTCCCAGGCAAGAATACTAGAGTGGGTAGCCATTCCCTTCTCCAGGGAATCTTCCCAACCCAGAGATTGAACCTGGGACTCCTGCATTCCAGGCAGATTCTTGACTCTCTGAGCCACCAGGGAAGCCCCCACTTACATATAGATCAGGCTTTTCCCAGTTTCTGATCCTATCTCGCAGCTGAATTAGTTTTCCTCTATCCCACATGGCTTGAGCTTGGCCATCTCCCTCCTTCCCTTCTGATTTTGTTGCTAAGTAACAACATGCTTAATCCTCTCCACCCTGCCTGTCCACCTCCAGGCTTCTAAAGCCATTATAGTAACTGAGCTTCCTGACTGACAGATCAGAGAACAGGGATTCCAAATTGTCACTTGAAGGGGTGGTACTTTGCTTGGAAGGGAATGGCTAAGGGTTTTTCTTTTCTTTTTTTGGAAGCTCTATTTGTTACAGATGCACTGATTTTACTTGGATTATATTTTAGTGTGGCTTTTCCTTCTGTCCCAAGTTGCTCCTTTGCATGTCTGTGAAGGTCTTACTCTAACTTTCAGTGTGAACTGGGTGATCTTTATTGTAGTTCTTTATTGGCAAATCTCCACTCAGAAAGTCTTCATGACATGAAATTCACTTTTGCAATACTGCCAATATGTGAGCATCCCCTGGCTGCTCTCATTGGGAAGAAAGTTTTCTGAGTTAACTCATATCTATAGTTGGTTGTTTATCTAATAATAATGGAAAAACTAGAGAAAAATAATGATGGAGAATAGAGAAACAAGCAGTGGCCAAAAAGAATTTATATCTGGCTTTGAGATACATCATACCATTACTTTACAACTGATCCTATTAATTTTGTTCACTTAGATTAACATTGAAAATAACATATATCAACTGAATGTTATGTTGCAAGGTTGTAGCAAGACTTAGGCTAAGAAGCAGGAACAAAATGATTAGGGGTTAAAATATTATCATCATAATTTACACAGTAGAGGGTTTACAGAAGAACTATTAACTTCATTCCTTATAGCAGGACTTACTCTGGAAAGCCACATACAGTTCTTAAAATAATTCATAAATTATTCTGTTATTATTTATCTATAGGTTGATTATTCAGAAGACCTGGATTATGAAACAAGTGTTGAAAACCCTCTCTCTCTATGGCAAGATCGAAAAAACCATGATGTTATTACAGTAGATTAAAGAGTTTAACAATTTTCAGTAAATATGTTAATGGTTCTCTATTTCTTGCTATTCTTGTCCAGACAAAAAGTTGGACTGGGGATATTTGGGTTTTCTAATTTTGCACATAAATATGACTAAAACAAATTAAGGCTCAGTCTTACCTTAAAGGAAAGAATTTTGTTCTCACAGGAGAGAGTAGACATTTTCTTACACTGCACAGAGATGGTTACGGCCAGACCTCTAGTGAGGCTGTCTTTGTACATATATATGATAAATATGGTCTGGGGTGCATTATCTGAAACAAACATTAATAAATGAGAACATTAGTTAGAAGAATTTTTGCAAATAAAATGAGAACATTAGTTAGAAGAATTTTTGCAAATAAGTATTTAGGGGAGTTAGCCAAAAGACAGTCCTTAATAGGCCCATCTCCAATCCCATGCTCTGAGATTCAGTCACTTAGCAGATGGAGACTATGTACAAAGATTCATACATTCTTTAAAACATATTTAAGTATGTATTATAATATAAATACAACAGCTTTTTAAGTGTGTTAGAAATATTCTGAATTCTAAAAGATTTTCTTTAACTTTTAAACACTAAATAGAATATTAAAGCTCTATCTGTTAAGATAAAAATTGAGCATTTTTCAAGAGTACACCATTCACTTTTCCAGCTCTGCCTAAACTCTCATATTTGAAATTCATACCCTGGAAGGCACAGTAAACTTATACATTTTCTAAGGCACTCTAAATTTCTGGTGGAAGATAGACTTATTTGAAGTGCTTATATATTTATATTTAATCTTGAGTTTTGAAAATGTTATCAGCAATTTCAGCTATCACCAGCAGGTATTAAGGATCCAACTCAATGGAGATCACATAGAGTTAATGTTGTTACAGTGAAGGGATTGATGATCCAAGGATAGGTTCAAACAGCATGACCCCTAGCACTATCTTTATAGAATCATTTTTTCAGCCCAACTAAAAAATATGGATTCCCTATAAAGTTTCTTGTCAGTGAAATTTCACCACTATGACTTTTCATGTAAGCTACTGTCTATCACAGAAAATGTAAGCAGTTAAATGGAATAAGAAGAAGTAGCTTGTTATTTCCATATTTACAAATGTATATTAACAATACCTGAACAGTCAGAATCAGGCATATCCTCAAAGACAGGTTGATTTCCCTGGTTAATGAAGAGAACTTGGTCGTTCAAATTTCGTATGATTGAGAGCTTAGGTTCAAGCTTGCCAAAGTAATCTGATTCCAGGTCTTCTAAAATGCACATGAAATCCCATTAAAAAAATCTTTTTTCCAAATTTACAAATAGGCATACTACACATTCCATTTTCAATAACAATCACAATTTTCTGTATTAGAAGCTAAGGTAAAATTGTACAGTGTTTTTAAATGGACTTCCAGGGGACACCTTGATTCTTGTTATCACTCAAAACCACTCTGTTTTTTAAATCTTCAAATATCCTGCTTTTGACCACAATCTCCTATCTTTTTAGTCTCCTTAATACTTTTCTTTCACTTTATCTAGTTTTTCTGATTCTTGATTTTCTTCCTGTCTTCCCTTCCTTCTCTATGCAGCCTGGACCTCATGATTAATCATTTATACCCTTTTGCCACTGTCTTAAATCCCAAACTCATTTATCTTTCCACTGCAGAACTCTAAACCTGGCTGCTGAACGCACTGCTGGTAACCAAATATACAAATGTACAAATTGGTGCAATAACAAACCTTCTTTTCCAGCTCAGCATTCTCTTCTATAGGCCATAGCTGCAATTTCAAGCCTTCTTCATTCTCCTCAGTGTCTCTACACTATCATCTCTGCTTTCACTTTCAGCAAATGATTTCCTGCTACTTCACTTACAAACTTAACTATGGCATCACCTCTTATTTCCTCTACCCTTCTCATCCCAAGGGAAATGTGAAAAGGGGGCCTCTTCTGGTATCTAAGGCTAAATTCATCTGTGTGTAACGTACTTTCCACGAGTCAATCATTCCCTCTCTTCCATCAACTCAGCAATTTTACTTCCTGGATTTTATCCTGAGGAGATAGCAGACAAATGTGTAAATATTTCTCTACAAGAATGTTTACGGGATGACATTAATAATAAAAACAAACTGGACACAAATGTTCATCAGTTGGGAATTGATTAAATAGATTTTGATATTTCCTTACTATGAATTATCATGAATTTAGTATAATTATGATTTAAAATAATTATTAATTGCCATGAAAAGATGTCCATGTATATTAAACTAGAAAAAGAAGCTTAAGTATGGTATTTTATTAATATATATGTATAAAACATCAAAATAATAGCAATGAATATTTGGGGGTTATTTTCATGTTTTAATTTTTCTCCATTTTCTTATCTTCATTGCTTGAATTATTTATAATTAACAAATTATTTTTATAATCAGAACAACATAAAGCTTTTCATTTTGAGATTTAAAGCACCTCAATCAATAGAATCTGCTCTAAAGCCTGTCTTGTTTCTTTCCTCCTTGTAGTAGCTGAGCTTCTGCTAAGAACTGTATGCATCATTTCCTTACTTTCCATTCACAGTTCAACTCATTACAAGCTTCTACTCACTGGCTCCACTTTTCCATCAAACTGCTTTCACCGAGATGACCAAATTCCCTGTTGCTAATTATAACAGATGCCTTCTGGCTCTTGATTTTCAAGGCTGCAAAATGCAACACGGTGCCTATTACCTCCATCTTGAAATGCTCTCCTGGGATTGTGGCATTCTCTGATTTTCTTCTTCCTCTTTGGCTTCTCTGCTCTATTCTTTATTAGCTTCTCTTTCTACCGAATCCTTTAAATACAGGTATTCCTCAGAGTTTAGTCCTTGACTTTTACTTTCTCACGCTACACATTTCCTCCAATTTGTCAGTTACTCTTATAGCTCCAGATGACATTTCTATATATGTCTCTCACATGTGCAGCCCAAATTTTTATCCTGAGTTTAGAACCACATGTCTAAAAATCTACTGGACATCTCCACTTGGAAGTCATACAGATAAGATCATCAATCACCATCACTAAATACATCTTCTATCTTCCTCTTTGCCTCTCAAACCTCTCCATCTTGCTCTTCCTCCTGTGTTTCCTATTTCACTGAATAGTGCAAATTGCCTATGTGAAAAAACATAGGCATCATCTTTTCTTTCTTTCCATCCTCTTCAAAATCCATGTCCTATTGATTTTTCCAAGTTTTTTTTTAATCCATTCATAGCTCTTCAATGGCACCCCACTGTGCCTATCTTAATTCATGTCACCATCATTTCTTAAAGGGACTACAATAATAGCCTCTTAATTGGCATCCCCTTTTATTGTCCACACGGCAATTCTTTATACTGAAGCTAGAAGGAATTAAAATTCAATCTTAACTAAAGTTAACATTCAGAGAGATGATCATGTTATCTTTCAATTTTAATGAATGACATGGTCACCTTGAATAAAGTTTATGTTTTCCATATTTTCCTTGCAGTTTGTGCTATGTGACTAAATTTGAGTCAATGGAATATGAGTGGACTTAATGTTTACAACTTCTAAATAGAGCCTTTCTTTGAAAAGAGTGGACCTGTCTTCCTCTTATTTTGAAGACTTTCTTGCTAGCTGGGATATAGATTCAGAAAGCATGATGAAGATTTTCAAGTATGTAGATGAGTTCAACAACTAGGGGATGATGGAAGAGAAAAAGAAAAACTTTAGATTCCAATATCATCAGGCTGCATCCAGCCATAATAATACTGAACTGCTGCCTACTTGGATTTATATTCAAGAGAAGTATTTTTTTAAAATCTTATCCAGTTACTCTATTTTGGGATCTCTTTGTTACAGAAAACTAATCTGTATCCTACATCATACATATTGTGCTTAATGAATCCCCCAAACCCAAACATAAGGTTGAGGTTCCATATATCAGAATAAGAGAAACTATGGATCTGCCTCCTATTTTTCATTCCTCTCTCATTATTTTCCTACTGCCACTCTATTCCCATTCTGAATAACTCGAGTCCTTATACATGCCATGCTTTCCTTTACATCTTTTGCATGTGTTCATCTCTGCCCAGAATACCTTCTCTTGACTAACCCCTATTGACTTTTCAATTCTGTCCTCCTTTAAAATGCGCTCCCAGAACCTACTAGGCTAAGTTAGGTGCCCTGCTATGTGCCCCCACAGCATCCCATGCCTTTGTAACACTCCACGTTCCAACTGCCTTCCTAATGTGCCTGCTTCTCCCATTAGAACTGGGTTTTGCTTACCATTGTATCGGAGTGCCTAACACAGTGCCAGAGATACAGATGCCAGTACTTGCTGAATCAAGTAAATAGGTGTACAGCAATCTTTCAGAAACATGAGGAGTTATATGACAATAGTATCTCAATAAATCTGAAGAAAGAAACCTGAACGAATAGTATTTTTCAAAAGTTCCTGTTTTCTACTTTTGGTCTAGTAGGGATCATGTTAAGAATGGGGAAAGTGCTACTTTTAAGGAAAAGTATGAGAAACTAGTGACCTTTAATAATCTGGGGGTCTGTTAGAAGATCATAGGCGTTATATGGGTATGAGCCTCTCTGAATGCCAGAGGGGCAAGGGTTGGGTACATTCACTTCTTAGGAAGACTTACTGACTCACCCTCACTGGTCTGTTTGCTCTACCCTCCCCCTTCTCCTCTACTTCCAGAATCCCCTGCAACCCGGGAGCCTGCCAGGCTTCTTTCCAGACCATTCTGAGGGGGAGGGTTGAAGAAGGAAGATGTTCCTGATTTGGGGCAACAATTCTCATCCTTCAGTACCCTGTTCCTATGTACTCCAGAGAACCCATCACTTTCTGCTAACCTCAGAGTGTGTAACAGGCAAGGTCTATTTTGGAGATTCTAATAGCTAAGAATTTCCTAAGCTGGGAGAAACATATTTTGTTGGAAATTCTTTTTTGTATCCCTTATAGTTATCTTTATTCCAAGGCAGTGCTAGTGAGTCCACATTCCTTTGAAGGAATATTAGCTTCTCAAATAGACTGGTATCAGTTCCTATCAGCTGAGAATGGTATTATGAATGTGTCTGTGGGATGTTTACTCAAGTAGCTATTTATTTTGCAAAGAAAGAGAAATAAAGTTATACTTTACCATCATTTTCAGCTAAAGGGGGGAAAAAAAGAAACAAAATATGTTAATTCTATATTTCAACTCAGAATGTCCTCTCACAAACCCTTTTATTACTCTTTTCTGCCCCTCTGTATTCTTTAACCCATATCTTACTGCTGATGGCCTTTGCTGGTCTCCATAAAAACATATAATCATACAAAAAGTCCCATAAAATGAAGCTAATTAGACTTGGTATGTTCTCAGGTATGGTAGGTATAAAACCTAAATCTAGGTTTCATAAATTTAAATTTGTAGCTAAGAAGAAATTTTATAAAGTGATAGATTTTAATCTTAAATTTATTGCTTCAATGTAAAGTCACTGAAGAAACTTTCTATGAAGCTTTCAAGTGAAGCCAAACTGCCCAAGGAAGATTAATCATAAGAATTTGTTTTTATTTGTCAAACATATTTACATAAAGTAACTCACAGAACTCTAGATTTAAGATACATATCTCTTATGCAATTTTCCCATTTGCTTTGGGAAATTGTATTGCCCTAGATTTAAGATACATATCTCTTATGCAATTTTCCCATTTGCTTTGGGAAATTGTATTGCCCAAATGTATCCAATTTTGTGGGATTTTCATGACATGCACCTGCAGCCACCTTATGGGTGGGCTACTACGAACTAAATGCCAGGACAGGTGGCAGGACAAAGTATTGGGACCTTGAACATACTACAACTAATTTCTAGAGGCCCAATGTTTTTTTCCAGAGAAGTGTGTGTATTACAATGGAATTTGGTAACAAAAAACAAGTCACTTAATAGTTTGCCTATAACATCTTTTCTAGTTGAATGGTTGTTGTTCAGTCGCTCAGTCGTGTCCAACTCTTTGTAACTCCATGGACTGCAGCACACTAGGCTCCCCTGTCCTTCACCATCTCCTGGAGCTTGCTCAAACTCTAGTTGAATACATATATCTAAACCCTGTATTTGGCCCACTGTTTTGAACTTACCTACAAAATAAAGTGTATTGTTAATAAATTTCATTTCCACAAAGCTGATGCAATAATTGTCTTCTACTGGTTCTGCAGCCATCTTTATGCCTAATGAAAGCAAACAGTCATCTGTTAAAAGGTAGTGATTGTTCCTTTTACACGAAAGGAATCTTTTACCACTTACTGCCTTGTTCTACTTCCAATTTCAGAAGTCCAGCATGCTGATGAACACTCTGGACATTTAATAAATGCCAGGAGTCTTCAGTTTATGAATGCCTGTGTTCAAATGTTCTCTTGCAAACCATTAGATATTTGAAACCTAGATAATGGAAGTATATTCTCTTTAAACAGTGCTATATAGGGAGGATAAGTAGTCCATTATTGAACTGATTTACTATTCCAGTATTTTGTTGGAAATATACATATATTATCAGTATAAACATAGGATGCCAGAAACATATCTAATCCTGTCCTTTCATTAGGGACTGGTTCCGTCTCAGCCTTACAACCAATGGGATCCTGTGAGTGAAAGACTGAAGACTGTGACTTCAATGTCAAAGTGCTACAGGTGAGGCAAAGCTAAAAATGGTGTTTCTGCCTGGGAGTGGGGGTGGGGTAGAAGGAGGCTGAAGGGCTCTGCATTTGATAGCTCCCTCTCTGAACCAGAGGAGCTTTTGATCTGGAGTCTGGACTGGACTATGTTATGCTTTTAGCACAAGTAATACATAAATACAATCTTTCTGTTAAGAAAAAAATCAAATAATACAGAATTTGAAAATGCTAAGAATTTTTTTGCTCTTTTCCTCTGTTCCACTCCACCCAACCTCACTCCAAAATGGTGTGTATCGTTCCAGACCTTTGTTTATGGAGCAAGAGTTCTAAATCTGCGAAATCTGTGAACTTGGATAGGGGGAAAAAAAACCTCACAAATATTTTCACCAACTTCTAACTGAAATTTAACAGTTCCTTCCATTATGCTGCAGGAAACAAACCACAGTATTATTCACAGTATCTGTGACTATCATTAAGAGACATACATATTTTCTACTGTATTATAATTATTGCAGAGATCTTGAAATATGGCTCATTACTACTTTGAAACATATGGACGTTATTATTTTCAACATGACATTTTGTTATTTAACGTGTTAATAAAGACTCACATATAAACCTATTAAAATTTGTTAAAATTTTTTTGGTAACTCTTTAATTATGAAAGATTTCCTTTCTAATCCTAAGTATTTAATTTTATGCATATAAAAACATGATTCTGAAAAGGATTCCACAGACTCACCAGACTGGCCATGGAGTGGGGGGTCCATGTCACAGAAATGATTAAGAAATTCTACTAGACTTCAGAGGTCCATGGCTCCCTGAGGACAGTTATGGTTGGTCCTCCAAGGAAGATGGTTAGGACAAAGCTGTCAATTAGTTTATACGCCTATACTTAGAGGTTGAGAAATGACTCAAATTTTTTCTAGCACAGTTTGCTAGAGGTCAAACATATATAGAGGAAGGAGGAAATTAAAACCCAGTTGAAAACAATTTACTCATTTTAAGCTAATATAAACTGTTAACCTGGTGGCTACTTTTGTTACTTTTTATTATGGAAAATTTGTACACATTGTGAAATGATCACCACAGTAAATTTAGTAACAATCTGTTACTGCACAGTTGCAAAAATTCTTTAAAAAAAATTCTTTTTCTTATGATAAGAATTTCTAAGATAATTTATTAGTAACTTTCAAATTTGTAATAAAATATTATTGACTATAGTGTACATGCTGTACTTTACATCCTATAACTTATTTATAACTTGAAGTTTGCACCTCTTGATCCCCTTCATTCATTTTGCCTGTCCCTTCCCCCTCCCCTCTGTTGACCACTAATCTGTTTTCGCTGAGCTTTATTTTGTTTCATTTTTTTTTTATTTCACATATAAGTGAAATTATACAGTATTTATCTCTCTGTTGGATTTATTTCACTGCTAAGTGAAATAAATGAGTGTTATGCTATAACACTATTGGATCCATTCATGTTGTTGCAAGATTTCATTATTTTAATGACTAGTATCCCATTATATACACCACATCTTCTTTATCCATTCACCCATTGATGGATACTTATGTTGTTTCCTATTCAGTTCAGTTCAGTCGCTCAGTCGTATCCAGCACTTTGTGACCCCATGGACGGGGGCACACCAGGCTTCCTCCTGGAGCTTGTTCAAACTCATGTCCATTGAGTCGGTGATGCCATCGAACCATCTTATCCTCTGTCGTCCCCTTCTCCTCTGGCCTTAAATGCTTCCTAGTATCAGGGTCTTTTCCAATGAGTCAGTTCTTCACATCAGTTGGCCAAAGTATTGGAGCTTCAGTTTCAGGATCGGTCTTTCCAATGAGTATTCAGGACTGATCTCCTTTAGGATGGACTGGTTTGATCTCCTTGCAGTCCAAGGGACTCTCAAGAGTCTTCTCCAACACCACAGTTTAAAAGCATCAATTCTTCGGCACTCAGCTTTCTGTATGGTCCAACTCTCACATCCATACATGACTACTGGAAAAATCATAGCTTTGACTAGACAGACCTTTATTGGCAAAGTAGTGTCTCTGCTTTTTAATACGCTAAGTTGGTCATAGCTTTTCTTCCAAGGAGTAATCATCTTTGAATTTCATGGCTGTAGTCACCATCTGCAGTGATTTTGGAGCCCAAGAAAATAAAGTCCTCACTATTTCCATTGTTTCCCCATCTATTTGCCACGAAGTGATGGGACTGGATGCCATGACCTTTGTTTTCTGAATGTTGAGTTTGAAGCCAACTTTTTCACTCTCCACTTTCACTTTCATCAAGAGGCTCTTTTGTTCTTCTTTGCTTTCTGCCATAAGGGTGGTGTCATCTGCATATCTGAGGTTATTGATATTTCTCCCGGCAATCTTGATTCCAGCTTGTGCTGCCTCCAGCCCAGCATTTCTCATGAAATACTCTGCATATAAGTTAAATAAGCAGGGTGATAATATACAGGCTTGATGTACTTCTTCCCCAATTTGGAACCAGTTCATTGTTCCAAGTCCAGTTGTAACTGTTGCTTCTTGACCTGCATACAGATTTCTCAGTAGGTAGGTAAGGCGGTCTGGTATTCCCATCTCTTGAAGAATTTTCCACAGTTTGTTGTGATCCACACAGTCAATGGCTTTAGCGTAGTTAATGAAGCAGAAGTAGATTTTTCTCTAAAATTCTCTTGCTTTTTCTATGATCCAGTGGATGTTGGCAGTTTGATCTCTGTTTCCTCTGCCTTTTCTAAATCCAGCTTGAACATATCTGGAAGTTCCTGGTTCACGTACTGTTGAAGCCTGGCTTGGAGAATTTTGAGCATTACTTTGCTAGCATGTGAGATGAGTGTGATTGTGTGGTAGTTTGAACATTCTTTGGCATTGCCTTTCTTTGGGATTGAAATGAAAACTGACCTTTTCCAGTCCTGTGGCCACTGCTGAGTTTTCCAAATTTGCTGGCATGTTGAGTGCAGCATTTTAACAGCATTATCTTTTAGGATTTTCCATATCTTGCCTATTATGAATAATCCTGCAATGAACATAGGTTTGAATATATCTCTTTGAATTAGTGTTTTTGTTTTCAACAGATACTCAGAAGTAGAATTGCTATATCATATGATAATTCTATTTTTAATTTTTTGTTTTCCATAGTGTCTGCAGAAATTTACATTTCTACCAACAATGCATAGAGTTTCTTTTCCCACACATTTCTGTCAACACTTGCTATTTCTTATTCTTTTGATAATTTTAAGAGATATGTAGATGATAAATCATCTTTCTGATGATTAGTTATACTGAGCATCATTTTATGCACCTGTTGGTCATTTGTATGTCTTGTTTGGAAAAATGTCTGTTCAGATCCTCTGACAATTTTTAAAGTCAGGTTTTTTGTTGTTGTTGCTGTTAGGGTTGTGTGAGTTCTTTATACACTTTGACTATTAATCCCTTATTGGATATGATTTGCAAATATGTTCTCCCATTCAAATGTTGCCTTTTACTTTTGTTGATAGTTTTCTTCACTGTGCACAAGGTTTTTTGTTTGACATAGTCTCATTATTTGGAGTCAGAGCCAAATATATATATATATATATATTGCCGGACTGACATCAAGGAGTTGTCTGCTTATGTGTTCTTCTAGGAGTTTTGTGGTTTCTGGTCTTGCATGTAAGTCTTTAATCCACTTTGAGTTAATCTTTCTGTAGAGTGTGAAACAGTGGGCCAGTTCAGTTCTTTTGCATGTGGCACCAGTTTTCCCAATACAATTTATTGAAGAGACTGTCGTTTTCCATTGTATATTCTTGCCTCCTTTTTCATAGATTACCTGGTCATACATGTGTGGGTTTATTTCAGAGCTCTCTGTCTTGTTCCATTAATCTATGTGCCTGTTGTGTGTGTGTGTTTATGTGTGTGTGTGTGCTAATATCATACTGTTTTGACTACTATAGCTAGCAATGTATTAATAGTTTGAAATCAGGGAGTATAATGCCTCCAGCTTTGTTCTTCTTTCTCAAGATTGCTTCAGTTATTCAAAATCTTTTGTGGTTCCATACAAATTTTAGGATGCATTGTTCTATTTCTGTGAAAAATGCCATTGAAGTTTTAATAGGGATTGCACTGAATCTGTATATTGCCTTGGGTAATACACATATTTAAATCATATTATTTCTTCCAATTCACAAGCGTGGAATATTTTTTCACTTATTTGTATCACCTTCATTTCTTTCATCAGTGTCATATAGTTTTCAGCATTATAGGTCTTTCATCTCTTTGACTAAGTTTATTCCTAGATATTTTATTCTTTTTGATGTAATTGAAAATGGGATTGTTTTCTTAATTTCTCTTTCTTGTTCTTTGTTGTTAGTGTATAATAAAGCAACAATGTTTGTATACTGATTTTGTACTCTGCAATTTTACTGTATTCATTTATTAGTTCTAACTTTTTTTGGGTGTAGTCTTAGGGTTTTCTATGTATAAATCATGCTTTCTGCAAATAGTGACAGTTCTACTTCTTCCTTCCCAACTTGGACATCTTTCATTTCTTTTTCATG